GGCACAGGGCGGGGAGGCGGCAGCGGCCAGAGCCAAGGAGCCTGGAGTCACGGCTGTGCCAGCAGCATGTGACGTGGGTGCCAGTCAAGTAGCACCCACTTACTGTGTCCCAGTCGCGTGGGACTCGGGTGGTAATACACAGCCTCGCTTCTGCACAGCCCGGCGGGTTCCCGCACCCCTGCAGAGTCCCGCTTAAATTAACGTGGCTCCAGGCAGCAGCGGAGCTCTGCACAAGCATGTTCATCGCTGGGCTGCTGTAAACTTTTGGTACCATGGAGTGTGTCCCTTTCAGGGATGTTTAATACATATCTGCTGGTCTGGAAAAATGCAAACCTATAAGATGTGCTAAAAATCTCTCTGTAAATAAAAGCATTAATGCAAATAACTTCCTACTGAATTAAAGTTTGGGATCTGACTCATTTTAATAAAGATCTAGAGCTTGAAGGCAAATGCTTATCTGTAGAGGAAACAAAATCTTGTTACCTCATTTTCCTCAGTGAAATCTGCTAGTGTAGTGTAGTTCAGCTAGTGTTCCCGAAGCATTTGAAGATCATCAGATAACCCTCTTGACCTGAAGAAGGGAGAGTGTCGTAGAGAAAGCCATAGTTAATGACTTGGGTAGGCTAATTACAACATGTGTTTGCTGTTCCCTGCTCCCTCTCTGACCTCCATTATCCTTCCTAAGTGCTGTTTGGCTATTTAGCAAAGCCTCTTCCATCCTGCAGTGTGTCTTGCCCCTTTTTCCTTCTATTTGGTCGTCTTTGACAGATACTGTCACAGAAGTGTGGGACTGCTGGGCTTTGGGAGACATAAGCAGGAGGAAGGAATCTGTGAGGAAAATAAGAAATTCAGGCTTAAATGTCAGTGAGAGAAGCGAAGGGTAAGGAGAGAAGTGAAAAAGGATATAGATAACTATAGTGTGAGAAAGTAAAAGATATTGCTGAATCTAGACCCATCCTCAGCTATTGCTCATCGCAGGTCATCTCCACCCTGATGCCTTGTCCCTGCCAGCCGCTTTCAGAAACTGTTCACGTGGAGGGTTAGTATGTACAGCAAAAAACCAAGAGAGGGATTCCTGAGGTGGAAGAGAGGCTCCATCCATTCCTGTCCTAAATCTTAAACCGGAGTGGGTATAATTGAGGAGTAGATGTTGTTGCAAAGAAGGAGGCAGCTGTGTGAACCGAGCATCACATTCTGAAAAGAGGATGAAGCCAGATCAAACTACATGGTGACAGATGGCCCACATCAGAAACCAGATGGCCCAGGGAGTCCCACCACTCCTATGAAATAGCAAGTGGAGGAGAAGCCCACAGTGTAGTCCAAAATGTTGTTACACCCTTATGTAAGGGCCACTCATGGTTTGTAAATGATGTTACACTTAGAAATCCAGTCTGTAATGGCTGATTCATAAGCCAGCATGGGCTGCTTGCAGGAAGGGTGACAGATCTGAGACCCAACTTAGTTTTACAAATACGTTTGCATGTGGCTCATCAGCTAACATCAGTGGCTTTCAGGCCAGGCTGCCTTGCAGGCTGTGCAGATGTACCTTGTAAGATGCTAACACTTAGTTAAGGTCTTATCTAATTGATAGTATCCAGAAATGATTATTGCAGCTGCTTCAGGGTGTACAATTATGAGTAATTGCTTGTTTACAAACATGGGTAGCCTTCCTTATCTCAAACCACCTTGCTTTCCTGTTGTGGTCCCTCTCATGGACCTGAGGGCTGTAATCTAGAAGTTGCTCTAAACCTGCAACTGGGCAGTGTGGCTGCATGCTGGTCCGGGCACCCCTACTGTGGCTGGTTGCCCCTCCGATTCGTGGCACGTGTAATCACTGTAATATCAATATTAACCTGTGTGTTTTGCAACTCTTACTATGTCTGCATTTGTGAAGTCTTGCCTTTTCCTTTCTTGGAGGAAGTAAGAGCCATCCAAGACTTGGAAAACTTAAAACATCAACTGAGAATGATGTGAAAGAAAGAAGATTTATAGCTAAAATGTCCCACTAATCCAAGCCCCATCTGTTTGGTACCGTCCTGGAAACAAATTTCAAAGTGGTTCTGAAATGCTAATCTAGTACTGAAATTCTGATCTACTGTTAATGTCAAGTTTATTAAGAGATGTTTTGTACATATGTGAATACATGAAAACTTGCTGGGAGGGATTTGTGTGTTTTGTACATGGGGATTGTATTTTTCAAATCAAAAGCTTCAAGTTCTGTTGATCATTAGGGCAATATAGTATCCCAACATAGAAGCACAAGCACCTTCCAACAGTGCATTAAGCGATGTCGCTAACTTGTCAGCAAATTAAATGTAAAGACAATACAATCCAGACCAAGTAGCTTTGGCTGGAACTTAGATCAAGCGGAGAGTACAGATAGCGATTGATAGCTATTAAAATGCTAAAGCTTGAAAATATTAGTCAGCTTGTTTCTCAGGAGAGGCTGTATTTGAGAGGAAAGGAGGGTTCAGGATTCCTGTGTCCTGTCTGTTGAACCATGGAAGTGTGTGCCAAGGGCTCCTTTCTCGTCTAGGAGCTCTGAGCCCCGCGTGCATCTTCTGTAGCTCTCTGCTCAGACGCTGAATGCATTTGAAATGCGATGCCATTATTTCTGATGCACCCATATGAAATGTACAAAAATCAAATGTCCCTAATTAAAACATTTGTAGGTCTGGTTTAGTAACCGTCGCGCTAGATGGAGGAAACAGGCAGGAGCCAATCAACTGATGGCTTTCAACCATCTGATCCCAGGAGGATTTCCACCCAGTGCCATGCCAACTTTGCCGACGTACCAGCTCTCTGAGCCCTCCTATCAACCCACCTCCATACCGCAAGGTACAGTAGCTAACATGTACTCGGTACAAGTAGTGTTACTGGGGGGTTCCTGCGTTGATCCATTGTAGAAGCATTTTCTTCTCTAATGTAGAAGAAGGAGTGTGTGCTAATTTAGGATCTGAGTCAGCAAGGACCTTGCAAACCTGCTTATTTTAAGCATGTAGGAACTCAGGTTTGTTTTGCTGCAAGAAAGGGATGGTTACATGTGAAGGGTGCTATCTAAACAGTAGCCTCATGCACAGCAGAGGTGCAGTGTTTGGTAAGCGATGTACACGCTTCCCTACCCTTCCGCTGCGTTGGCCTCCTCCGCTGAGAGTGCCCAGCACGGCGGGGAAGGGCACAGGAGTTCCGTTCTGTCATCTTTATTGCTTTCAATGGTTGTGCACTGGAAACTTCTGTGAGTACTCCCGAGTATTTATCTGATGGTGGGGAAAAAGCAGCTATTCATCTTACTTCACATCGGATGGTAGCAGGTCTCTGTATCGTAAAAATTTCTGTTAACCCATCAGAAATTCTGTGAACTTTGACGGATTTGGTGGGGGGTGGGAACAGAGCTTCAAATCCAGGCTACACTACATTTTGCTGTTAAAGAAAAAGCTTGCAGGTGAGTTTTTGTAAGGCAAGTTGCTATGCTTTCCTTGCTCCCTCCTTGAGATTTGGATCCTTACTGGTGGTGGATGTTTTTGTCATGTTCTAATTAAGGGAGTTTTGCAAAGGCTAGGGCTGCTCCCATCCATTGCTAGGTTTACTACAAATCACGGCAGAATTTCTGTGCTGTGACCAGAAGGGGAAAGCCTGTTACCAGTCTTCTAGGCAAAAAAAGCATTTCCTTTTGTTTTTTATATATGCATGTGTGTATTTAAAAAGTATGTATATAAAATGTATATTACATATAATATATTTAGAAAGATAACTTTTTAGATTTTGCTGTAGCAATTCTGAGCAATATGTGCCCACTGAGGATTGTCTGAAAACTGCATGTGTCTGTTGTTATAATTTTTAAAGTCTTTTAAGGATTTTTATGTAATTTAACTGGCCAGTTAAATATCTAGCAATATTAAAGACTTACCTTTCTATTTAACCAGTATTTACATGAAGGCCCTGATGCAATTCTGTCAAGTTGAGCTTCACATAATGAACTTCTTATGCCAGAAAAAAGGAGGAAAACATATCAACATGTTTCTTTTGCTTCTAGCTGTGTCTGATCCAAGCAGTACCGTCCATAGACCTCAGCCTCTTCCTCCAAGCACTGTACACCAAAGCAGCCTCCCTTCGAATCCAGAGAGCAGCTCTGCCTATTGCCTACCCAGCACCAGGCATGGATTTTCCAGCTATACAGACAGCTTTGTGCCTCCGTCCGGGCCCTCAAATCCCATGAACCCTGCCATTGGCAATGGCCTTTCACCTCAGGTCAGTCCTGTGTTTTCAGACAGAGGATTTGCTGTATACCAGAACCAAAGAGTCTATTCCCTCAGGCCACAGTATAATGAATTGCCAAATTTAAACCATAATGTATTCTTTATACAAGCCACATGATTTCAGTTTGCTAGTTTCCTTCTTTTTTTTATTTTTTTCCTCCTACTGGCTGAATCAAGGGTCATAGCTTATATTTAATTTCAAGTGATTTATAATGTAATCATGCAGGCTTCATGTTTACATTTAGTTGTCAAGTGTTTGTAATGTACTGCTATTTTCCTGAAGATCCATGGCTAGGTACAGAAAGTAGATCATGTAGTTTTTCTATAAATAAAATAATCTCTTTAAGATAACCTCACCAAGGTTTTACCGAATGCTGCAGGAAAATTGCAGGCAAGTTGTACGAGGAGAGTTCCAAGGGCTGAGCAGTACACATTGAGATGAGCCATAATCGAGTTATAAATACATAAATTAGAAGTATTACTGCTCTCTGGCAATTTATAAATGCATGAATACCATAATTGTTTTTCTAATTTGCATGAGCTCTTTTTAGGAAATCATGTTAATAAATTGCCTTGATAATTGAGTGTCAAAAGGTTGGTTACATTTTCCTACACGCAGCATCTGTCTGAAGCTGACATTATTAGTTAAAGCTTGAATAGATGGTACGTTATTTTATTAGTGAGAGCTTTGCCCAGGTGCTTGGAAAGAGATGTCCACTAAATTCTGAGAAGTCACAGAGAGGATGCAATCTATAATTACAATCAGGAATCTCTTCAGGGCTGAAAGTGAGAGTTTTAACAGCTTTATCTTCTTTCTACCCTTTTTTCCTCTCAGTGGTTAGAAAAACAGAGAGAAGCTCAGAATGACACAAATGAAAAGTGAAAAGACAATTATACTCAATTACACACTAATCACTGACTATCACCACTGCCTAAGCAGGGAGAGGGCATTCTAATAGGCAGAAAATGAGATTTTAATGGCACAAAGGGTGGCCAAAATAACGACTCATATATCTTTGCCTCCTTCGTTTTCTTCAACTTGTGGTTTGCATCTCGGGAGTACAGTTCCTGGTTCCTGTGCAACGGTGATAACTCTGTGCAGCTGAAAAGTTCAAAGGCACTGGAGTTGAAAAGAATGAATAACAAAGGCAATGAAATAAACATTTTTGCCCAAAGGCAAAAGTTCATAAACCCTTTTTTGTAACAGTAAATGTAATTAAGTTTCACAGATTCCTATAGCATAGAGTGGGGTACAAAACTTCATGGCTTGAAACCTCAGGAAAAAAATACCAATAGAAAAACAAACGGATGTGCTTCCACCAAGACTTGAATGGATTTTGTTCTAAAAAATTCTGATTTCTAAATGCAATCTCCAGCAAAAGCCATGACATTATATTAGTTGCTTCACTTTTTTTATAAGTGGCAAGTTTCATAGTGTGCAAGGCTTCCACAATTTTGACATAAACGTCTTTCTGGGATTCAGCGGTTAATCCATCAAAAGTAGTTGTTAGTGTCAGTTTAAATGTATGTTGGTTCTGCCTATGGAAAACGTGATCTTTTTTTCTTTTCACAAAGCTTTTATTGTCTGTGACAGAGAAGTAGAGCACAACAGTAAAGAAATCTTGTGGTGTCTGGGCAAAGTGGGACAAAAAAGTGAGGCCAGGTTTCCTCCCCACAAAGTCTTGCTGATTTGAGGTTTGATATAATCAAAAGGAGATCCCGGAGCAGATTAGACGTCTTTAATCAGTTACTGTGCTTCTTTACACCCAGCCCTGTCTTTACGCTATGAAACTTCTGGGTTTTGTTGTTTTTCCTTAGACTTTTGAAATCTTTTCCTACCCCAGTGCTTAGAGCTCCTGGCCCCATCCTGCATCTTTACCAACAGGTTTAGGAGAAGGCTGACGTGTTCGTCTCTGAATGCATACAGGAGATTACTTACCTCCATTTAGATTTTGAACAGCTTTTTGGCAACCAAATTATTACCTTCACTGGGTGATAAAGATCTTTCCATCAAACAAACAAACAAAAAACCCAGCCCTAAATTCAGGCAGTGTTACCAACAGCTCGTCTAAAACAATTTTGGGGCCTAAACAATGACTTAGAGACAGGTTATAAAATGTGTGTGTGTATAAAATGACGTACCTAGGCTTTGTGTTTACATAAGGGAGTGATACAGCCTCAAATGCGTAAATTATGGGCAACAAATCGTGGGACTCTAGCAAAACAGCGATTGTGCTTTATGCCCGAAAGAAGAGCCTCCGACATCGGTCACGTACGTGCGACGTTACTGTGTGTGAACACCCCTTAGTCGTGGGTTGTGTCGCAGTGCATCCCCTTGTCATGCTTCCTCGGGGCTCTTCCCACAGGCACCCAGGTGTCCAGCAAGTCGAAAGCCAGTTCTGCGTTGGGGATTTCATGAAGAGGGAGAAGCAGGAGTTTTCCCGCTGAGTGGGCATGTTGCAGTGCCCTGCCTGTGTGCGTGGAATTTAGATGAGGAGGAAAGAAGGTCTTTTTACTAGCTGGTGGTTTTTTGACCACAATAAATCTGGGTGTGTGAGCAATTAACATAATGTTTCCACCCATCAATGTCCTCTCGGGCAAGTGCTCTGGACATACTGTGTGTGAAGCTGAATTTATGGTGACTTGGGGGGGGTGGTGGCGGGGGGAGCTTTGTCTGAAGCCCAAATAATCTTTTGTGATTTTAAAAAAAAAACAACCCTCAGAATATGCAGAACAAAATCTAATATTAAGATTCAGAGGATCATATTCTTACCAGATTTAAACCTCCTTTTCCCCTTTGACTTTAACATATTCTAAATGAGGGTCTGACACGCAGGCCCCTGGGGAAGCTTTATTTTCCATGTAGGATGTTTCCTTTCTAACTTTGTTTTTGAGTACGATGGACAAATACGTTGTTTCAGGCAAGGACTGGGTGAAGGCAGAGGGCAAGGGGAGATGGCTAGGGTGCTGTAATTTTATTTTTTATCTGTTAACCATGAACTTGGAAGTTAGAGGAGACTGTATATTTTAGTCAGTTTTAGGAAGCAGAATGCTCCATAACATACCTGTTTTGCAGTCTGGGAAATAAGATGTTGTTGCACTTGTTTAAAAGAATAGAAAGGCTCCCACCTTGTTAATACTATTTAGCACTTTTTAACATCAAGACAAGAGCTGCAGTTCTCTTCCAGGTGACTGATTATTCTCCTTGCTCATCTGGCTTACTCGTCGCTACCTGGCTGTGGTGAGAGAGCCTCTGTCTTACAGACCTGCAAAGGGCTGACTTTTGCAGGAACAGGACAGGCATTAACATCTCGGGGAACTGGTAGCCAGTTCCTTGTGTGTATTTCATCCTTGTTTGTATTTCCTGAAAAAGCAACCAAACTGCAAGCACACCATCTCAGCCAGAGCTCTTTAAATATCATGTCAGAATGGAGATTATTAGTGTGTAATATATGTAAATTGCATATTTTTGTGTTTTCTATGCTTATTATGCAGCTTCCTGCCTTTCATGCATACGTTTATGGGAATATTGTATTTCCTTTTCAAATTAGGTTTCACTTGCTCAGTGCATTTTCTTGTAACAAACATTTGTTAACTCAGAATTATTATGGAGTAGCATATCTATGTGTTAATATGTGTGTACGGGACTTAAGCGTGCCTCTGAATTGGCACCTCACTTTCTGATCTCGGCATTAATGGTCATCGCTGGTTCTTCCATGGAAATCAGAAGAGCGACTGCAAAAGCACATGTCTCGCAACTGCAGGTGTATGGTCTTACTAGAGTGCAGATTGTTTTTAAGACAGGATATCAATATTTTGAACTGCTTCATTTAAGATAAGGAAAAAGGCTTTTCCAGTGTACATGGGCATCCCTTGACCTTGTCATGTGCTTTTTATTAGTGTCGAAGCAGCAGTTTGCTCTACACCGGGCGGTTCAGGCAGTTTGCTGGTTTTGAAGCGTGCCATTTCGGACTGCTCGTGGGTTCAGACCCAGCAGCAATACTCTGCTCGCATTGCTGCCCGCAAGGCCACTCGCTTCCTGTATTTAACCCGTAGGATACCCAGACTTGACCAGTACTGCACCATTAAGTTTTTACTGCAAAAAGAACAAACATGCGTAACCTGTCTCCTGCTGGATATAGTTTTTTTCCTCCTTGCCCCCTAGAAAACTTCTCAGATCTACTTTTTCCTTTTGCTTGTCATCTTTCCCGTAATTGCGTCAAACCAGCAACTTTAAAGGCTGCAGTTTCAAAATGGGAAGTGGGCTGAATGTTGAATGGGCTGTGTAGAAGGTCATAACGGTCTTTAACAACGTTTGCAGTTCTCATGCCGTTACCTGGAGCTCAGGAATAATCTTGATAAGAAAATTCCAAACTTTTCTGTGAACAGCAGTAAAGATGCAAGCTGTTTCAAGGTTTCTTTCTTCTACTGTCAAAACATTTCATTGCCTGAGTTTCAGAATTATCCTGTAACTCTTTTTGGTGAGATAGATCATAAGCAGTTGGCTTCTCTTAAGTCTTTGAGGGCACTTGGTTTTCATTAACCTGAAGTATGGAGCTGCTGGCAGCTGTCGAATCAGTTAGATATGTTCATATTGTCTTGTTAACTCTGCTTTTAAGGGAAACACAGGAACCAGTGGCTAAAAACTTGCATTCCCTCATTAAGAGGGACAAGAGGGGGAAAAAAAGGCAACTATTAATTTATTATGCTTTTTTCCTATACCTTCTGTTGAATTACTGTCCAACTGGTTACCCACAGAAACATTTCATTTGGATCCAATCCGACACCAATGAGAAGCTCATGTCACAATGAGCACACATCTTTGTCACAATGAACTTGGCTTTGAGAGGTCTTTGCTTAATGACCCAAGAACGTGAGACAGAGGTCAGGGATTTCTTTGTGAGGAAGAAAGTTAATTATATAATTTTCATGAACACTAGTTTTGGGTTTTGTTTTTCTTTTAATTAAAAAAAAAAAAGTTCAGCCAATGGG